AGATTTTCAGAAATCTGCATCATATTTGACTTGGGTATCTGGATGGAAGCCTGAGACTGGGTTACTTCAAGGGAACTGTGTTGTTTGGACTGCTGAGTAACCAGTAAGGTATAACAGAAGATGTTTAGTGCTGGCTTGGTAAATCTAAGTATTGAATTATCCACCAGCTTTGGTGTTTGTCTGCTCCATTCTTTGCAGTTCACTCTAACTGGGTAATCTCAGCTGGCCCCCACTGGGACCCTGGTCACAACAGGCCATTGTAAAATATACCTTAATTACTCATCAAATCTAAGATTCTGTAACAGGCCTAATTCTGCAACCTTGGACTTTCCTGGGACTACTTCCTTAAGTAACTATTTATTGCATGTAAGGATTGCTGAAATGGACCCACTGGACACAAAACAGTGGCTATTGATTCAGTAACTGGAAAAGGTCTAAGTAAGGAAAAGGCAATACTACCCAAAATCTGCATCTGCATTTGCAGCTTCTTGAAACCTAGCACATAGCAGATTACAAATAACCATAGCAATCAGCTCTGCTTTGCAAGATCCCTATTATGCTGAGCAAAGACAGTCAAAGTGGCAGATAACATCAACTCGGGCATGCATAAAGATTGCAGCTGCATAAAAAGATGATGGCAAATGGAAATGCTGGGCACAAATTCTCATCATGAGGAAAGTTTCAAAGACAATTTATATTTTCCCCATGTGCCTCTGAACACTACTTTCTATTCCCCAACACTATTTAGTTAAAAAACATACTGTAGAATAGACTATGTTAACAAGGACATTCAAATAAATGTACTTTGTATTACTAGACTACCACTGTTGAACCATGTATTCATTCTTTATTAACAACAAATTAAAAAGAGAAAAACAAAGACAAGTCTAGGTGAGGGTTGTGTGTCCTTGGCACAAGCACATACTGTGGCAGTACCCAATGTGTGGGAGAAGGCACCACATATATAAATCAATTATCCCAGCAGCTCAATGAACTCATTTAACTTCCCTGCTGTCTGAATCCTCATTGTTCTGAAGTGTTCTCAAGTCTCTTGAGGGCAAAGCATAGCAGTGTCCTGAAACTAGATTGTAAAGAAATAAACTGGCACTGTGTACCATGCATCTAATAATTGAATAGAGCATCACAGACAAGATAAAAGGAAGAGATCTCATCTGCATAAGAGAAATGTTACCAGTTATAAGAAAAATCAAGATGTTTACTGTGTCAAAAACAATCACCAACATCATGCATCCATGCATTCCATCAGTGGGATTGGTGATTCTGCAGTAGCACTGTGAGTGGTTGCATCCTCATATGACAAATGGGAAAGTAGCTGTATTGCTGCCAGGGCTACACTTCAGTTGTTGACTTTTTAAAACAAATATCTGTCCTGGAGTGAAGCATAGACCTTTGACCAGGCACTTAGGTTGACCTCAACCAGTAAGCAAAACAGAGGCACACTACACATGTTCTCTCACTTCCCATTACTTTTCACCAGAGCATCAACATATTCTCTTGTGCATTACTGTCATTTTGACGATCTTCCTCATTTTGCTATATACTCCATTCTGTTAATGATCAGGCAAGTAGGAATGGCTTGAGAGGCCAACAGCCCAATGACAGACTATTTATTGCCTTTCTCGCAATCCCAGTGTGCCACGCTGCCTCAAATCTGTGGGATGTGCAAGATGAAAGGGACCAGGACCAAGGGAGAAGCCAGATTTGTGGTATGATCTCCTTTGAGCCTGGCAAATATCTAAGAATGAATGACTGTTTCCCCACAAAACTTAACTCACACTCCATGCTTGCAGCATTCTCAGAGAAGTGGGGCTGTGATGGTAAAAAGGCAGCATGGTTCCTGGGATGGCCATGCTACCCGAGAAGAGCCAGTCATCACCATGAAGGAAGTTGCACAGTGAGTCTGCAATTTTCTTTTCCCAAGAATACCCGGGAATGAGGATTTGGAGTCTGGGCTCCCTCATTCCTCCAGCAAACTGATCCTTCCTTCAGTGAAAATGTTAAAAAAAAAAGTCCATTAAATTCGTCATGTGGGTTTTCTTAAACCCTCTGTTTTCTGTTGTTTGTATCCCCGCTCTTCTTCCTCAAGTATCTCCTCTCCCACAAATAGATATCACACAAATGAGGAGATAATTTAATCCAGAAGAGCCACAGTAAGGAGAATGGAAGAAGACATTTAGCAGTGAGGAAAAAAAAGATACAGAAATCTCCAGGAGGTTTTGCTTAATCTATGCCTTACTCCTTGCTTGTTCATCTCTTGTAATGATGAAAGAACTACTTACATCATTTTATGGAAATAAAAATTTGATCTGTGCAGAAATAGTAAAGCTTAAGTCATGGAGCCAAGTTCTCTACTGGTGCAGATTGGTGCAGCTTCATTGAAGACAATGGAGCTGAGTCAATTTTTCAATGGCAAAGAATTTGTCCCTAAAAAGATAGAAAATGTTAGGATTTGATAAATAGACTGAATGTACCATTTTACCATTCAAATAACTGTTTCAGAGATTGAATAGAGTCAGACTTATTTTCCCAGAATTCCATGATAAGATGATTGAGACTTAGACAATGATACAGAGACATTTTCACTTACAGACATTGTCTGGTTCTCCTTTTTAGTTGCGATCATCTTTGAAGAGTTATGCTTTGCATTTCGATTCATTGCATGCATACTGCATTTTGGGGTTTCTGAGAAAATGTTAGTCTCCACTACAGGGTAAGAAGAGTATTCTCAATCAAATAATTAGAAATTCCTTAAATTGTTTGATTTCAAACAATTATCTGTGTTGGTTTATTGTATACATTGATTTTTTTTATGAAGGAGGAGATGGTATATAATTATTTTCCTGACTTTTGGAAGTGCTCTTTCTCTTTCTATTAGTCATCTAAAAAGGTAAATATTTTTGTGATGTTGCAGTTTATAATATTTTATGGAAATATGCTTATGAGTGTGACTATAATGTAACTTGAATATGCTTTATGCAAAAGGTCTCTTGTAAGGTATCTTTACAAAGGTTATAGCCTACTGAATATATTCCTCCTATTTATATGCATGTATCATTCTTGTATCTGAAGCTCGAAATAGAAGGTATAACTCTGAGGTCCTATTGCAATTATGCAAAGTGTGGCCCATTAATGGTGGTTTAGAATATTGATGCCTTCCATTGACTAGCACAATTGGTTGTAGATGGTTTATTTACCTGCAAGCCTTCCTGTGGACATGTGGGCCAGCCCATTGGTAATGAAGAATGAGGTCTTACAGTGATGCTGGAATCTATCTTAAATCTGCTACTTTTCCATTTAGAAGGAGGGGTGGGGATCCAGAGAGACAAAAAATTCCCACCTTGTGCCAAAGCTATAAAAAGGGTGGAACGGGACAAAGGGGGTTGCCAGTCATGAGAAAACCCCTAGTTACCACCTGAGCTGGAACTAACAAGGACTGTAACAGCGGAAAGGATTGGGCCCAGACTAGGAAGGAGTCTAGTCTGGGAAATAAGCTTATTGGAACATCTCTGAGGGTGAGATATTATCTGTAATCAGTTTCTTAATGTATTAGGCTTAGACTTGCATATTTATGCTTTATTTTACATGGTAACTTATTTAATTCTGTCTGTTATTACTTGAAACCACTTAAATCCTACTTTTTATACTTAATAAAATCACTTTTGTTTATTAATTAACCCAGAATAAGTGATTAATACCTGGGGGGAGCAAACAGCTTTGCATCTCTCTCTATCAGTGTTATAGAGGGGGACAATTATGAGTTTACCCTGTATAAGCTTTATACAGAGTAAAACGGATTTTTTTGGGGGGTGGATCCCATTGGTAACTGGGTGTCTGGGTGCTGAGCAGGTTTTGGTTAAAGATTGCAGCTTTGGGGATGTGGACCACCCCTGGGTCTGTGTTGCTAGCATGTCTGGCTCAACAAGGCAGGGTTCTGGAATCCCAAGCTGGCAGGGAAAACGGGCTCAGAGGTAACTTCAGTCCCAATGGGGTCTCTGTAACCGAACCAGTCACAATTTTAATGTGCATAATGGTGCTGTATGCATAGCATGGAAAAAGTTATTTTAAATGATTTCTGAATAAATAAATAATGAAACTGTTGCGGATACCATCAGAGCTCTTATTTCACCGATAAGAGCCGGCCAATGTAAATATTGTCTTTACATTTCCTACATTTTACATAAATGTTATTATTTCATAACAAAGGTAAAGGACCTGGCGAGTGTTGCCTTGAATAAAGAAACGTGCTTTATATCTATTCTGAGCTGCTGGATAAAGCTATATTTTTCTGCAGTTCATTCTGTCTCTCTTTTCTTCTTCAGTGGAGCTGAAATTCTGAACTCAAAGCATGAGAAAAGTGTGTCCCTTCAACTTAAACAACTAGTTATTTAATATCCAATTACACTGGTTTGTTACCCAAACTCTGATGCTGAAACCCAAATCAGTTCTGTTGTTAATCCAGGGCTAAATTGTGGCCCATCCTGGATGTCTATCCAGTGCAACAAGGTAAGGAAGACACCTCTTTTCTCCCCTAAACCAGATACCCATACCATATAGCAGCATGGAGTGGAGAACAGCCTCCATGGGGTGGCTATGTTCTTTCCTTATACAGTTAAACCTCAGAGTTACAAACTCCAGCGTTACGAAGTGACCAATCAACTGCACACCTCATTTGGAACTGGAAGTACATAATCAAGTAGCAGCAGAGGGGGAAAAAAGCAAATACAGTACAGCACCGTGTTAAATGTACACTACTAAAAAAATAAAGGGAAAGTTTTAAAAAGATTTGACAAGGTAAGGAAACTGTTTATACTTATATTTAAATTAAAATGGTTAAAAGCAGCATTTTTCTTACTTCTGCCTAGTAAAGTTTCAAAGCTGTATTAAGTCAATGTTCAACTGTAAACTTTTGAAAAAACAAACAACCATAACGTTTTGTTCAGGAGTTACAAACATTTCAGAGTTACAAACAACCTCCATTCCATAGGTGTTCATAACTCTGAGGTTCTACTGTATTGGGGGATAGGGTGGGGTGAAATGAATAAGCTCTGGCTCCACCTCCCAATGTGCTGACCAGGGCAGCTGCCCCAGGTAAGGGCTGGCCCAGGTTACTCCTCCCACAGAGAAATAGGAAACTTCCAGTCTGCTCCTCAGGCAGCACAATTATGTGGTGACCTATACATGGAGCATAGTCACATAATACATACCAGAATAACTACTTTTAAGAAAAAAGAAGAACAGAAAATATATTAACAGAAAAGCCCTGAGCTAAGACTACAGATTCACCCCTTAACTTTTGGGCCAAATTCCATCCTGGCTGAAGTAAGTACATCTCCTTTAATTTGAGCAAGAGCAATAGTGTCTTATGCCATAGCTGAATTTGAACCCCTAGCTCCAGAGTGGGTTCAACTAAATCCTTGGATTTGGAAATCCACAGATCGAGACTTCAAAACCCAAATCTGAACTTTCACAAAGTTTGGAGTGTTTTGGACTTGGACCATTATAGACAGAGAGATTATAGCTACAAACATTGATTTGAACCTTGATCTATCATTTTTATTTAAAAGGATTTATAACATTATTTCTTGATTCATGATCTTCACTGGACTTCACAAAAGCCCCCAGATTACTGGTGTACAGACTGAGAAACAAACACCAGACTTCAAAGCTACTTCCTATGAACCTCCTGCTGCAAATAATTACACATCTGAGCAGTCACATTGAAATCAACAGGGCTGTTCTCAAATGTTCCCCTAAAACTGAATGTTTGTAAGGCTGCAAACCCAGTCACCACAAGCAAGTAGTTTCCTCCATTGGCCTCCAGGGTTTTCCTTTCCTCAGGTGGGTGTGATGGGGATCACTCACCACAGGCATCATTTAGTGCTTAGGCAAGGGCATATTCTTTCCTGGCACCCCCTAGTGACAACAGCTCCAGCGCTACAATGATCTGCTTTTCCATGACTCAGTCCGCCAGCCAGGCTGTGAGTTTTGTCCATGTCTTTCAGGATATACTATGAGCCTAACAAAGGATAGTCCTGCTGTCAGTCAAGGGGTTCCAGGCTTCACAAAGTCATGATCCTCCAGGTTATAATCCTTCTAGTCCAGATTGCCCTGGATCTGGGGTAGGCTTTTTGCCTTCAGCCCCATCCAGGAGTTTTTAAGGGAAGCCAGGCCCATTCTCTCCATCAGGTTCCAATCCAAGGCCCTGTGGTGGGCAGCACATTTTTGCACCTCCAAAATGTGCTGTACCACTGCTCCTCTGGATTGCTTGCTATCAGTCTCCTCCCACAAAAGGACAAAGAAAAGATATATGAACAGAATAAATCAAAGGATAAATCCCAGGACTTTCATGTGGTCACAGTCCCTTTTTCCCTCAGCAGGTCAGGTAGGTTCTCAATAGTCCAGGACACCAGACAAATGGACCTCCCATAGCACTTCATCTCAGGAGTTAAGAGTTCACCTCCACTGGCTGCTCAGAACTAACCTGCTCCACTCTCCTTTTAAGCTCCAGTCCATGCATACTTCGTGTGTGCGCAGGGTAGAGCTACCTGGATCCAAAGTATCTCTTTAACCCCTTTGTAGCCTATAGGAATAAATATTTGATGAGTAAGCATTAGGTATAAGTTAAGGCAGTAACGAAATGAGCGTACAAGCTTCAAGGCCTATATGACAACAGCTTAGCTAAATGAATAAAGGGGAGGGGGGCGGAGGGATAGCTCAGTGGTTTGAGCATTGGCCTGCTAAACCCAGGGTTGTAAGTTCAATCCTTGAGGGGGCCATTTAGGGATCTGGGGCAAAAATCTGTCTGGTGATTGGTCCTGCTTTGAGCAGGGGGTTGGACTAGATGACCTCTTGAGGTCCCTTCCGACTCTGATATTCTATGATAAGGCCCCAAAAGTCTTAGCATGAACACTTACCCAGGATAACCCTAGATCATAAGATATCACAAGACAGACTTCTGTAATAAACAAGTATGACTAAATTGCTGACAAGATGACAGTTTGTACCAGCTTGAGGTATTTTAAGTTAGGAATATCAGCACATGTTCAACCACAAGAATGCCATGGTAACTAATTGATGTATATGCTAATGAACTTGAGGTAAAAGGCCTAGTAACCTATGGGAGAAAGGTATGGAGGTTCAAATAAGGTAAAGGAGCTGAAATCCTTACTGAATATGCATTAGGCATAGTGGGTATCAGCATAACACTATAAAAGTTGTATCCCAGCTTGCATGCCTTGAGACATACCGGCATGATACATGATGGTGATGACGATGAAGAAGATAGTGACTACCACTTCTCCACAAGAGATGGTAAGAGATTATGGATGCTCATTGTATATTACCTCTAGGTTCTTTGCTGGGTTGTAGTGTTTGCAATTTTGCTAACTATGTTAATAAAACTAATGCAAATGCAAAAGGCTTTTCCTAAGTGTGGGTATTGCTCCTGTGCACATCAGATTTCTCAAGATAAGTAATTCTAATAACTCTGGGCCCGATCTTGGGACGAGACCCTGCCAAACTACACAGTGTTATTTGGGAATTCTTAATTATTATAATTAATATATAACCAGCAGACCAGACAATACCTTCTTTCCCAAGGGAGGGTTTGTATGCCCAGTCACAATGCTACACACTTGGCAAAGAAAAAGGGCTCTGGTGCTCTTTCCTCCCAGTCATTTTTGGTGCAGCTGGCTCAGGGTGGTGCAGAGGTGTCTTAGTTCTGGAGAAGAAGGGATTTCAGGACACTCTTTCGCTGTTGCCAGCTCTGCAAGAAATTTTGAGCAGGAAAGACCCATAAACCTTAGTGAAGGGATGAGAAGATCTCTGGCTTTTCCCTAGAAACCACACACTGGAAATTATGGGGAGTCTCTCATCACACACAGAATAGAGCTGGTTGAGATTTTTAAGGAGATATGTATTGATTAAACAATTAATAATATCTTAGGTGCCCACCATGGGGACTGAGATAGCTCCTAAGACTCTACTGTGCTCATTTAAAACTCAGTTTAAAAATGTGGAGCTATAGCATTAATTGCAGTGTTAAAAAGTTGTTTTTAAAGAAATTCCTTTCACCTTGTAATATTTAGGAAGACAACACAATCCCCTATCTGACAACACCATTTGTGAACTATATAATACACAACTCAATTTAAAAAAAAACAGATAATTCCCCGTTCTTTTATACATGCAACAATTAAAATGGCAACTCAGATATTCAAACTGTGCTTCAATTGAGGCATGTTATGCTGATTATAAACAGTGTATTTTTTTTTAATTTGGAATTCTAATTAGCATTGGTTTTCTGTCAAGTGCAGTAATTAGGGAAGTTGTCAATGTCAATCCTATTATTCTTCTTGATAATGAAATTATTTAAACATCAACCAAACATGAATGTTCTATTTTTACTTGGAGTATGGTACATTAGCATGGAGAGTGTAATTATTGCTAACATCCTCATAGTACTTAATAAATGTAGCTCATCAACCAACATTATCTACCTAAATACCTGAACACAGATGTTCGTGATTAAGAATTTAAAGAAATATGTATGGCCTACTCAGGAACTGAGCTAACCTGCAGGTATGTGATTAGCTCTCCACGAACAGAAGTGATAGAAGATATAGTGAGAAGTCTTCAGAAAAAATACTACTAAAAAATCCTTAACAAAAAAACAGCCGGATTCAAAGAGGAATACTGGTTTGGGATTAAGCCAAATAAACCATTGAAATATACAGTAAAGGACTATAACTCCATGGTATGATCCTTTTGAGAGCATGCTGCAAGTCTCAGTATTTTCTAAAGGTCTTACCATAAAAACTGAAGGCAGAAAAAAAAATCGCCCCCTTTCATCAACATTTCCCCCCATGTTTGAATACCTGAACAGAGAAGTATCAGAGAGATAGCGTGTTAGTCCGGATTGTAAAAAGCAACAAAGAGTCCTGTGGCACCTTAAAGACTAACAGATCATTGCAGCATAAGCTTTTGTGGGTGAATGCCCACTTCATCAGACGCATGTCATGAACAGAGAAGATGGTTCTTTGAGATGAACTCATTCTCTTTTGGATGTTTCCCTCAGTGTGGAATTTAAGCCCATTCAATATTTCAGAAGAAGCTGGGGGTTTGCCAGGGAAACTGTAATAAACAAAGGCATATGTACACATGCTTTCTTGCTTTTTTGATTTGGCTACCAACTGCTGATAGGCCTTCGACTGCCTCTGCCATGACTGTTACTTGTATACCCTATATAGTGTACAGGGGACATTTAGTTTGTTGTAGATCATATCTGTATATAAATGTGTGTCTGTGAGTGCACATAAGTGTAAAAGACAGATACAAAAACAGAAAATAACAGGTCCATGAGAATTCTGGATTTTCCCCCTTCAAAGTTTCAGCAATACCCTGAAGAGGTCTGTTATGGTGGCACAGCTTGGGATTAAAGCATGAACAAATCATCTCATACAGATCTGGGGTCTGGTGCTTGGATAATAAAGTTTTCACGTGTATTTGTCTCTGGTTGAATGCTATGCATGGAGCCTCAGTCTTCTCTCTGTGCACTGAAGATACTACCAGCATTATTTTCAGCTAACTCAATACTCAGAAGATTCCCCCCTTTTAAATATATATATTCAAGTACATTTAAAGATCTTAAAATACAAATCAAAATCACTCTAGAGTGCAATCAAAAGAAAAGTGCCATAAAATAGCCCTAAAACATAATCAGAAATATTAACCACATATTTAAAAGTGGAAAAATGAACTCCCGTACCATTTATGAAGATCAGCCTTTCAAAGACCCCAACTGAGTCCAGAGTTTCAGAGCAGAAACATCTACAATCTGAATTAATTCAGCTCATATATACTAGAGCCATAGCTGCCCCACTCCTCATTACTGAGTGTAAAAAAAGGAACTGATAAAAAAACTTTAAAAAAGAGAAAATGACCTTTTCGTGTTCTTTTGAGCCTTTTACTGTAACCGTGTATATTCATGAATTATTCATCATCATTTAGAAATATGTTTGGCTGTTCAGCTTGCAAGCAGTACTTGTCTAAAATATCTCACTCTTAATATAGATAAAACGACTCCTGCAGAACAGGATTGTAAAGAGCTATCTCCAAAATCTACTGAACATAGATTTAGTTTAGCTTTTTACAGTTCCTGTCTCATACTAAAGGATTGAAACAAAGCACAAAAATAATCAAACATTTTGTCAAGAAAAACACTTCCAAGATTTATGCCCACTTGGTTCAGTGGAAAAAGTTTTATTGTACCTGTAAAACTCTGCATTTTAAATATATAAATTAATTACATTGTGAGTGTAATGACTAATTTTATTAGGATCGTATGTTCTAAAGACATACATAGAAAAGGGCCAAATTCTGGCAGTTTATAACTTCCACATGCTTTTTCACATTTCTCCGGTGGTCCTTCTTCATAGCATTATAAAAGTGTATTGTGCATTGCATTCTGTCTTATGACTTTTATAAATAGTCTGGTGTAGAGGTGGAACTGGGCATAAAAAACATGGCTTTTAAAATATGATAGAATGATTATATAGCTAAAACACAAAGTATTGAAAAATGTAGAGTTTTATTGCTATGGAGTCATTTTTGCTTCACTTAATATTGGAGAAAGAATATTTGGAGTGATGTTATATTTTCTCCCTCAAGCAACTTTTCTGCTCTGGAATTTTTAGAGAGCTTGAATTATTATTTTAATTGTCAATATTCTGAAGCTGCTAGATAGTAGCTACACAGTACCCAGATGCCCTGTTCATTATCCAGTTTGGGGCAGGGATGGGTCTCCACAGCTATCCATCAGTCTGCTGCACAGAACCTTAGAGAAGCTTCTTGGGACCAAATAGCAGGTCAGGCTTACAGTTCCCAAACAGAGCTGGAAGATAAAGAGTTCCCTCACACATGCCTGGGCAATTCAGAGTGGGAAGATGGCATAGCCTTTCCACACTCAATCCTCCCCTCACCCCAAGAGGGAATCTCCCCTCTCCACTGCAGTGGTTACTGCAGTCCCAGGGCATTTCTAGGTTTTACAGGGAGACAAGAATATCATGCAAAGAGGCCCAAGAACCATGCTCACATGATAAGAAGGATGGTTCAGTGGTTAGAGTGCTGCTCTGCAACTCTGGAGACCTGGGCTCAATTCTCTGCTCTTCCAGAGACCTTCTATGTGACTGTAGGTGTTAGGTGCCTCCATACCTTTACAAATCTGGCCCTTAGACTCTCTGGGCATCAATTTCCCATCTGTCATCTGGGGATAATAGCATTTCCCTACCTCAATGGGATGTTATGATGTTCAGTAAATTCATTAAAGAAGCTGAGATGCTCAGATACTTGGATAATGCAGATGCTATAAATACCTAAGTGTATTGGGATAGAAAGGCAAGCCCCATTTGGCAATGGTGGGGTTAAAGAGACTGACAGGGAATGAGAGGGATAAGGACATTCTATGCATGCAATTAATGCTGCTGTGCTACACCTGCAGCCAATGATAGCAGAGCTAGGGGCTGACAAGGAAGGAGGGCAGAGTTCTGCTTCTCTGAGAAACCTGGTTGCAGCCCTGAATCAGAGCTTTATAGCTAGCTGGATCAGCCATGGTGGAAGTGACAGCTGGGATGGGGGATCAATAGAAGCAGAGATTGCTTATGAGAGAAGCTCTGAACAGACGGATGAGGGCCCACCAAAATTTTGTGGGTTGACCCTGTGTTTGAGTTGTTTGTTCCTGCTTACCTTTGAAACTTAATACCCTGGAAGGGATAATAATGAAGTGTACATGAGTAATGTACCTGAATGCAATTTCTAATCCTTAATGGATATAACAACCTGCAGAAAAAAAAGTGTAAGATGCAGAATTGGTGTTGAATGTGTGACTTAATTCTCACTTAGGAATCCATTTATTCAATTGACTACATATTTCACATACAAATTATATGGGAGGGGACAACTTATGCATTCAAATTGTCACAGATTGGGGCGGTGCCCATGTGAATTTGTTGGGAAATATGTGCCAGACCTCAGTGACCTACCTTCCTCTGTCCCCATTGGCAGCATAACTGTTGGGCTTGCCCAGCCACTGCTGCTTCTGAAACCTCCGCTTCCCCCATGTGTTCTGTCCACATGTTTTAGGAAGCCATGTCAAGAGAATTAGTACATAAACTGCATTATGAAGCTGTGCTCTGAGGAGAGAAGCTCCTAACAGAAGTATTTCAAAAGGGACAAACGCTGTATGTGGTGCTCTGCAGTATTAATTCTTCTTTAAGGCTCTGATTCAGCAAAACAATTAAGCACACACTCAATTTCAGCCACATGCTTAAATGTTCTGCTGAATAGGGCCTATAAATATGTTATATCTAGCTGGTGTTGCCAATCTTAGTGGTATAGTTAGATGATGCCATTTTATTAACATTAGAGTCTTTAACATTAAGTGTCATTGGCATTTTAAGAAGTAATTAATTGGACAAACTAATTCAGGCTACTTACTTAAGACAAAGGAAAAATACAGAGAAAATATATTTTTCTTTTGCTGATCTTGTGTTTCTTTTTTCAATCTTTATACTTTGTTTTTGACTTAAAATGATGTTCAGCTTTCCATGAAATGGGTTACTGACTCTCACTCCATCTAAAAGAATTATGCAGGATTTTTTCTCTCTTATATCTTTTATAGCAAACATATATTGGAGAATGGGTACTCATTTTTTTCAAGAGCTATGGAAATATTACATTCATAGAGAAACTGCACTTAATTTACCTTGCGCAACATTGTATCAGCGTCACATCAGATCACCTTTACCATTTTTCCATCTAGATGTAGCCTCAGGACCTACTGGTTGCTGGAGTGTGAGAACCATTGGAAACTCATAAGTCACATAACAGCTGTTAGAAGGCATCACAGGAAACCCTGAAAGGAATAATCAAAGTGATAGATAACCCTCTACATTTTTGTTTTTTGTTGGTTTGTTTTTGGTGGAGGGAGGGAGCTAGGGGTGAAAGGGACAGATACTTAACTACTTTGCACATCATTTCTTCCCGTATTTCATGTATAAATCCTCTAAATATTGATATTCATTTGCATTCCTATGACAAGAGACATTTTCACTCTCAACTGGAATAGCCATGCCTACAAATCAAGAGGAAACAACATTCTCCCTCCAGCTGACCATAAATTATTATTTATGAATCATGTTTATTTTGGCAGTGCCTAAGGGCCAACCAAGAATGGAGCCCCACTGTGCTAGCCACTGTACAAACACAGAGCATACAGTCTCTGCCTACCAGAGCTTCTAGACAAAGGCAGGGTGGGAGAACACTAGCAGAGTGAAAAATACAATGGTGGCAAACATTATGTTAGCCCCCCTTTGTTTTTGAGCTTGCTTGAGGGTGAGTTGCTTAGGAGGGGAATAACTAAATGGAAAGAAAAGGGAAGGGGAGAAGGGGGTAAAAAGGGACAGGTGTGGAGTGGTGCTGAAATGATGAGATGGTGAGGGAGAGGGCTGGAGCAAAAAAAAGCCAATCAGCGCAGTGCAGAGAAAGATAGAGAACATGCTACAGTCTGGACTGGAATGTCCAGAGGGAAAAAGGTCCATGCTTGGATGATTCTGCTGGCTCCTCTCTGAGGTTTCCCCCCACTAAGGACACATGGCAAGGAGAAGGAGTGGATCTTTGTATTCATGGGGGTGGGGGGGGTCTT